GGCTTTAGGGGTTTAGGGGTTTGGGATTTTGGCCTACACGGTTGGTGATAACATGTTCGTGGGCAAGGCCTACCCAGAGGCTTCAATAATTATCTTGAATGCAGGGTCCCTTATTGAGGATCTCTACACTTTGAGGAATATCCCCTGACTGAAGGGTTTTACAGTGTGTCTGAATGTTCGTATTTCGGTTATAGGCTCCAGCGGTGTACCACGCACAGAATGGTGCATGTGCAACAAGTATAAGTACATGTTCACAATTTCTCGTGATTTCAGCGCAAAGGCCTGTAATTTTGTGGAGTCTCGAGATGCTTGCGGCCATCCAAATGAGTTTAGGATTCAGGGTTTAGCTTCTGTGATTGAGGGTTGAGGACTTTTAGGTTTCAGGATTTGGGTTCTTGGGGCTTTTTCTGGCTTAGGATTTGTCTTTCCGCCGTGCTGCATCCATTGGCGCGCCACCCAGTTGCTCACGCAGCTCAGCGCGCTCGTCCACGGTCATGAGCAAGCCTAGAAGAAGTCATTGCAGAGAGTGCTGCTTCGTCGAAATGCAGCAAGGACATATAAGCATATGCTTCGACGCCATAGAACCAGGTGTGAACACCTTCGACAACTTCGGAAAACTGCAATATCCGAGAATGAATGGAATCAACACTTTAGAAGAATGAGCATCAAGCGTGCTGCTTGTGGCTGCTCAATTCAGAACATTCCGAAGCCCGAACGCTGGACGCCATCACTGGTTCCTGCCTGCTGTTCAGCGAGTTCCGATAACTGATCATGTGTCGTAGTCGTGCTTCTGCGGCATACTGGCACAACATCTATGCTAGGTCCTGAAGCAAAACAGGACTGCTGGAGATTGTCGTTGTTGTGCTGTCGGCACAACGGCAGGCTCAGCAGCAGCAAGCCTAAATAATTAGGATCCTGGGGCATGTTATATGTCTACGAAGGAACGGAACCCTTTTTATTCGAGCTTCTGCAGTACGCTCGGGGCCTCCTTCCGTAAGCTGCCTGAGAAGGCGCTGCCACTTTTCCTCAGGCAGAGGGTGAGAGCTTCAAACACTCATGGGTCTTCTTTTGACGGCCTCATGAGGGTTTAGGGCTTAGGGCGAAGACTATGGCGAGTTTGGGGTTTAGAGCTTAGGGACTAGCTTGTGGTTTTACTTGTAGGGCTTAGAGTGTAGGGCTCATGCTGCCGCTGTGCTTTGGCTGGCAGGTTCCCATTTCAGACTCCAGATCTGCAGCGGGTACCTATCTATCTTTCCATCTTTCTGAGACTAAACGGATCTGTTGCAACTTCGCCTCTTTGCTTCACAACCGGGTCATGAACAGAGCCTGCTGTCCAACGACTCGCCCATGTCGCGTAAGCTCTTTTCCAACAACTCCTAGCCTATCCCTTGGGTCGTGATGTCTGTGAGGCAGTCGCTACGGATCCGATGTTCCCAATCCATTCTCCGGGAAGCTAGCTGCCCCTCAAAAGACCGGCCAAACCAGACGAAACCCAAGCCAACTGCCATAGTTTAAAATATGCAAAACCCTCTATCTATTTATTTATTTATTTATCGATCTATTTCTGTACTTCTCTATCTATCTATCTATCTATCTAATCTAATCTGAATCTCCAAGTTATATAGTACCGACATAGCACCCAAAAGCCTGAAGCTTCGCCCGGTCAGTGATCTCCTCTACGCCCCACAGCAGACTTCGAGAAGGACAAGCCACCTCATCCACAGCCGCCCCTTGGCGAAGACCAGCATCGGTTAAGAAGTCCTGGTTTAGGGTTTAGGGTTCGACTCCCAGGCCCGTTAATTAAGGAATAGAAAGTCAAAGGGGGCCTTCATCAAAGGGGGCCTTGCTGAAGAGAGAAGTCCTGCAAATACTGCGGTCTGTTTGTATCAGTTTCTCTCGTGCTTTGTATTGATCCTCCCTAAACCTTAAGCCCTACTTCGTCTACAAGGACTACGCTCACAATGGCTCAGCCGACGGTTTTTGAGCCTTTAGGCCGGCAGATGGCTATCAATGCGAGCTTCTGGTGCGGCAGGGTGGCCGATGAGGAAAAGGACAGCAAGATTTCAGGTTCAGTTTCACATGACAAGCATACACAAGCATGATAAGCCGACCGACTGAGCGAATCCAACGATACCGAGTTTCTGAAACCCTCGACAGCGAACCGACAAAAAAAAGTTTACGTTGGGGCTGAGCCCAGCTTGCTACAGTGGATTTGCTCCATCAGGGCATACTGAAGAACAACCAACGCTTGAACTCTGAGGCAGTGGAGTCCAAATCGGGGTGTCCTTGACGGTCATCATACAAATGGGCGACAGAACGTCCATAAGCTCCTCAGCACATGGTGAAAGCCCAGGGCCGATTCGGGTTCAACCCGAGCTAGGGGCCTCAGGACAAGATCAGGATCATAGATAAACATCAGACTAGGGCTTGCTAATCATTGAAGCCCTTATGCTGTACACGTGCCAATAAGGGGGAAGTACAGGATTGCAAGAGTGTGCCCGACTTGGGCGTGTGCTTTTGGAACGCGAAGCTGGGCCTAATCAAACCTTGAGTGTTCCACTACTCCAATCACGGGGCATGACGAAGCATTCCTCAGAACACTTAGGCTCTGACACTAGCAAGTTCAAGCCCGAGTTTTGCTAGAGCCAGGAGGTCGGCCCCCTTCCGAGATCCTCTGACAAACTCAGCTAAATCTCGAGCACCCTCAAACTCGAATCAAATGCCAGAATTGCTCTCGATGGCTCAAGCACAAGGCTGCATTTTGACTAGTTCAGACCACTTTAGAAGGCCATTAGAAACACAGCGACTCAAACGAGTCGGAAAATCTACACAAGTCATATTTCTCACAAGAGTCCACTCCTGTTCTATCCCGAGCCCCGTGAGCTCGCACGTCTCCGCTCACCCGCCCAACCGCCTCTAAGCCACCCGAGACGTGCCACCAAACTCCCAACCGACATGCCCTTTCCTATCTAAGTCTTAGCCCCTTGTCTGCAAGGGGCCGCACGAAACGTCTCAACAGCCTCTTCGGCGCCGGCGAACTTCTCGACAGTTGGGCAGAAGTCTTTGCCACCCAGCCTTCAGCTCAGCACAGGAAAAGTAACAAGCAACCCCAAACCCTAATTGGAGAAATCTACGCACGCCAAACCCTTAACCCTAACCCAAGAGAAATCCAAGCGATCCAAGAACCTCGAATTCGAACATCCCTGAAGCCCAATAATCCATGGACGGAGGTGCAAGTTGTCGAGCACGCCATGGCGAGCCGATAACCTGGCATAGGGCTCCTAGGGGTTTTAGGGTTTACTTGAACCCTGAAGAACCTAGCTTGTGAGGGTTCCTTATTATGATTTGCTGATGTAAGTGTCCTTGAAAAGGTCATGTCAGGATTTGAAACAGGGTCTCTACAAAAGCATGTGCATACGCGATTTTTGGTTTTAGTTTTAGATGTTTGGGATTTAGGGTTTAGGGTTTAGAGTTGAGGGTTCAGGGCAAAGGGCTACTGCAAGTTGCCGCCGCACACTCCACCCTAGCCCTGATCGCAGTGCCCCAAAGCCTGGAACATGAACCTCTGCAGCCTCAGCACCCTCAAAACCTTAGCCCCAAAACCCGAAACCCTAAACCAGAGGCGCCAGAACTTCCAAACGTGAGAAGCCGAAAGCTTTCACCTATTCGGATCCCAGCTGGCTCTGGCTATGGGGTGCAGGACCTATGAGGCCTGAATGTGTGTTACTGCGAGCGCATGACATCCTGAACGAAAGCTAAAAACCTTGAGCCCTGCAACTAAAGCAAGCCCAGAACCCTAAACCCTAGCCCCCAAACCGTAACCCCTTAACCCTACGCTGAACCCTGGCCGAAACCAGCCCCCTTCGCCCCTGATACCCTTGTACCTTTAAACACCCCAACCACCCCTCCCCACAACCTTCCAGAGGTGCAGAAAAACCGTTCCGGCGGCAGGAACGGCACCTTGGATTGCGAGAGTCTTCATCACCACGTAAACTCCTTGTAAGGTTCTAGAACTATTCATTATGTAAAGGTTTTTTGCTGGATCACGAAACCCGAGATCCCACTTCGGTCCTAAAGGTTGTGTCTGTGACAATATTGGTCCTGAAAAACAAGAGATTTGCATCTCCTATGTAGACCGAAAGCAGTATGCATGCGAGTCTAAATACCACCAACAAGCAAGAACAAAACTCCAAACCTTAAACCCCCAACCCTAAACCCTAGACTCTAGAACCTCCACTTGTGCAGGTCTGCCGTAGAAAAGGAGAGACCCTGGCGAAGCCACTCAGCCAAGCAACTCTTATCCCTCGGCCGCCCAGGGACCAAACCTTAAGGCCCTTCAATAAAATTGAATCCTTACCTGTCCAGTATCTACAACTGTTAACCTTTGGGATTATATTGGGGTTCTAGGGTTTAGGGATTAGGGTTTAGGGATATAGTAGCCCAAAACGGATAGAGGTTGCCCACTCTACCGCCGAGAAACCACCGAATCTCAAATTGCTCGCTTGCCTTATTGGACCCACACCTATGCTCTCCCAGGTCTGCACCTGCCACTCAATCCTCAAGGAAGCCAAACAAAAACGAATCCGAAAGGCTATATCCTCGACTCCAGAAGAATCTGGAAAGCCGAAGTTAAAGCAGCTCGAAACCTCATAGAACCCTTGCAGGAACTCGTCCAGGCGGCCGGCTGGGAACCCGTAAAGGAACCCTCCAAGGCCTAGCAGGGTTTAGGCTTTAGGGTTTAGGGTTTAGGGGTTAGGGTTTGGGCTTTAGGGTTTAGGGTTTAGGGCTCCAAACCGCTCCGGGGTACGGCCTCGAACTGCCCATCCCAGTCCTCCCAGTTTCGCCGCACGGCTTGACGGGAGCTCGTGTCTACAAGGGTGTTGCATGAGGTACTGTAAAGGTTACCCTCCAGGTACCTACTATAGAGGGCCAAAAAACCTCTAGTACTCAATATAGTAGGCACCTGAGGGGTTAGGGTTATGTAGGCTCTCTGCACTGGTTGGCAATGCTTCTCGCTGGGCTTCTGTAGAAGGTTACAGGATTCTATATCCAAGTCTGTAGAAGGATGTATAGAGTCTTCTAGCGTGTGTTGTGTGGGGGAGGCCTGTTTATGGGTTCATGTCCGTTGCGAGGGGCGTATTGAAGTTGCAGATTTCTTTTTCGGTGGCCTCGTCGATTTTTGAGACGGGGTCGTCCTAATTGGCGGTCTGCGCATCATGGTTCACCATTATAGCAGCAGACAACTACAGTGACTACTAGTCTACACTATATACTATAAACCCGGTACCCATTAAAGCAGGTACTCCCAGTTGGGGGCTACTCTACATGGTGCATGCATCTGCGGTTCCGATTGGCTGCGAAAGTTTAGTTTGGGAGCTCCTGGTCTCAAACAGGGACAGATGTGCATCCAAGGGCCCGGTTTGGCTTCGGGGAGTCGTGTTTCGAGGTTTAGATGGAGACCCCAGACCCTCAAACCCTACAAACTCTTACCAAACCCTAACCCCTACACCCCTAAACCCTGAAGGGCCCCAGTACTTCCTGCTCTAGGGATCGAGGTATCGCGGTGTGCAAATCACCGCAAGACTGCTGCAGGCATCTGCGCTAACACAAGGGACGTCCTAAGTAGTCGCAATAGGATTTTGGGGTATACTAGAATATACTAACGTAACATAAGTACATTAAGGAGGCCTGAAGCCTAAGGAGACCTTTTGGCACTTTTCAGGCTTCTGTATTCCGCTCTAAGCCCTTGGAACCGCAAGGAACTTTGTGGCCCGGTCCGGATGTTGTAGGCGCTCGAAGAACAATTCGTACCTCAGCGCTGCATTCGCCGCTCCAAACTTGAAGAAAGTAGATTGAGGTCTGACTAATTTACTCCAAACCCTAAACCCAACCCCTAAAACCCAACCCTAAACCCTAAAGGTTAGGGGGTAAACGGGTTGGCGAGGACAACGGCTGCTTGTAGAAGCGGCTTGGGGGGGGGGGGGTAAAGGCTGGTAATATGGAGGCCTTGATGATTAGAAGAGAATGTTGGGGTGAATTAAAGTATCTGTCGAGAAACCCTAAAGAATGATAACCTAGTTATTCCTAAACCCTAAACGTAAAATCCTTAAACCCTAAACCCTGAGCCGCTATATTGGAGTTGGGCTTCCGAGGCTTTGGTGAGAGCGGGGGTTCGGACTTCGGTGCCCGGATTTCTGCGATTCGGAATCTTCATGAAGTTATTTTCAGTGTTATGTTGTAAGAACACTTTCATATTATAGTAATTAGGGAAGAAATAGCAATATAATTGATCAGCAAATTTTTTAGCATTGAGTAGTAGTATGGCTACTATTGATAGGGACCCTGCTTCGGGTCAGCCCTACATCTTCTAGAAGCCGTGCTCACTCGAGGCGACTCTCAACAGCCAGTGTCCGCTTGAAAGCTGTCAGCTTCTTCCGTCGTATACTTGTCAAATGTTGGCTGACATGCTTCAGGCGTTGTAACAACTCTATACTGAGAAACCTATGCGCTCCTACAGTGTGCTACTTAGTCGACAGGGGGCTGCGGGCTTCGGGAAGCCTTCTCTTGGATATCGTCGGAATCTGAGGGCTTAGGGCGTCTTGTTCTTAGGTTCAAAAAACTTTCGTTGGAGATCATCGGTTAAAGGGAGAGATTGCAGTAATGTTTACAGGTCATTACAGTATATTCTCATTCACAGCGGCAGCCTGCAGCTCAGAACCCTAACTATAGGGTCTCCCCTGGCTAAAGCCTTGCAAATCCTTCGTCCCAGCGGACAACTTCTGCTAGGTCGAGCCCGCGGCACAAAGCATGAAGCCAAACTTTGCATTGAAGAGAAATTGATCATGAGTTTCCGGCATTGAGGTCGGTTTACCGTAGCATAAGTAAGCATAAGTGCAAGGGTTGAGTGTCCCTACACCAGAAACGTTCCATAGGGCTATAAGCTCAACCGCAGCACTTGAAGGCCCGACATCAGAAATCAAGAAGCAGTCCTGGGGTCACGGCGCAAACCACCAGCGTCTTCCAAGCTTGCTGCCTACCACGGGATCTTGTGTTCAGGGTTTAGGATGCCGGACTTAACCAGAGATGTTCAGCTGGCGTATATGGTTGGGATTTCCGACGCTGCACTAATTACAGTTCTCGTCCTAGGTGAACCTCAAACCAACAAGACTCGAACTCGCGGGGCGTGGGCAGGACCCAGTCCTTGCACAACATCATACCCGGTGGGACCCAGGCACATCATGAATCACATAATCTCCGCAACCGCAATCGCCCACTTTTTGTTAACCGGATGTATTGCACACCACACGTGCGACCGAAAATCCAATGGCCTGCCCTAGGCCTATAAACCCGACACTCTTGGAACTGAAAACCTGGACGCTAAACCCCGACACCCTACACACCCAAGCCTGCAAACCCTAAATCCACAACCCCTGACGTCAGATAAATAAAAGTCACCCGCATCGCGACCCCTGCCGTCAATTCAAACCTTGTAAACCCTAAACTCTGATTCTAAACCCCAAGCCTCCAAAACATAAATCCTTAACCCCAACGTGAGTTAGAACCCGGTATAAATCCTAGGTCCCAAACCCTATGAGCCCAAAAGACATCAAACCACAAACTCCCCAACCCTTGACGTCAGTAACGTAGGGGCCTCCATAATTAGACTGGGGTTTTGGGGGTTCCTTACTACAAGTACAGTATAATATACCCCCCAACCCTATTCTAATTATTTAAGGCCTCTATCTCAAAAATTACCTATAACAATTTTGGGGGGTTCCTTATCAAAAGTGCAGTATAATGGACCCCAAAACCCTATTCTAACTATCAAGGCCTCTACATCAAGTAAGCCATGGTCCAGAGCCTTCAGGGAGAGCTTGGAGAATGGCACTGGCGACGGCCTCCTTTGCCTGCCACGGCGACGGATGCCAGTAATGTAGGGACCATAATAATTAATTAGAATAGGGTTTTGGGGGCCCAGTATACTACAATTATAAGAAGGAGCCACCAAAATAGTATAGGTAATCATTGAAGCCCCTAAATTACAGATTTCCCGACACTGCTTGGCCAATGGTTCTAGAATTAAAAATGTTGATGCAGAAAAATTATGCAGAACACGTTACAGCCGACCACATACATGCATATTTTCCTATCTCTGCGCTTCGTGCGCACGCGCCTGCTTTGGATGAAAAGGTTGCGAACATTCGCATGAAACAGTACTGGTTATGCTGCTGCTGCTGCAGTTTCAGAGTAGTGTTACTGTATGAGTCTACAGAGCCGCTTCGGGAGTACTACGAACTACTGACGAATACGCTATCGAGATTTCAGGACTCAAAAGCCCCTACAACCTTAAAGGGCCCATAGTAGTTCCTATTTGTGGCGTATATTTAGGATCCTACTAGGTAATCCCCAAAAGGAACTACGATGGGGCCTATGGGAAAGCCTTAAAGGGCTTAGCCTTCCTTGGCCAGAAGGCGCCGTGAAGACGACCTTGGCCATGGCCAGAGCAATCCCGGAGAGACAGCGACACTCCTGGGGTAACATAGGGGCCTAAATTGCCATAAGGGGCCTTATCATAGTTACCTATACTATTTTTGAGGGTCCTAAACCCGAGGCCCTAAACTTCTAAAACCCCAAGCCACACCCTGAAATCCCTACGCCCTAGCTTTCGAAAATCGCAAAGACCTCCAAATCCTACACCCTAAATCCCTAAACCCTCAGCTCCAAAACGGTGAGTCGCCACGACAGTAGACCGCAGGCCTGCTTCTGAGCTTCGCAGCTGCCAACCCTAAACCCTAAAACCTAAACCCAATGCTTCTGAGCTTCGCAGCTGCCGGTCTTATTCTGCAAGGTGTCTCCAGCCCCGAACCGCCAGAACTCTCAAACCGGGAACTCTGATAGGGAAGGGGTCTGAATTATTAGAATACGGTTTTGGGCTCCTTCATAGTACAAGCACAACAAGGAACCCTAAAGGATAATATGGGGAAGTACTGAGGCTTCTATATTTCGGTTCAGGGTTTGGGGTTGAACCCAAACCTGCAAGCTTGAAGCCGGAAGCTCCCGGCACACAAATAATGTCAGGGCCTTAAGAATTAGAATGGGGTTTTGGGGTATATTATATCATGATTATAATAAGGAGCTCCTAAAATAGTATAGGTGAATAAAAAGGCCCCTATATTAGCAGACTTTGGAAGCCTTTCCGGCCGTGCCTCAGGGAATGTCTCCAGGCAAGATAAGAAGGGAAACCAGGGAAACTCATTCGCCACGGCGTAGCCTCAGAGGGAAAAGCCCAAGAGCAGTCTAAACTGCGAACAGAGGGGCCTCAAAATTCGAACCGAGTTTTGGAGGTACAGTATGCCCCTGACCCTAACCTGATCCATCAGGCAGGGCTATACAGGCATATGACCACTAAGGGCTCAGACGGCTACCTCGGGTCGGAGGAGCTCAACTTCTCCCCAGACTCCCGAAAACCCTCAGGGCCTTAGGGTTTGGGGGTAGCAGTCAGGGGATGGGTAGTTCTACAAATTAGGGTCCCTTTTGGGGTCCTTTTTTATAAGGGTGCCGTACCATAATATGGACCTAAACAGGGACCCTAATTTAGAGAACTACCCGTAAAGGGTTTAGAATGTAGGATGTCGGGTTTAGGGTTTGGGGTTCGTGGTTTGGGGTTCAGTCCATTTCCACCACCGATATCTGAGCTAACATGGAACTACTGCTTCTGACACAAGTTCGAGATCTGGAGCTCTGCGACGAGATCTTATGACCTTAGAACCAAAACAGGAATAGTATTTTGTTGATGATCTCAGGGATCAATTGCCATGCAATTCCTATAATCCTACAAGAACACTGAAGAGAGATACGATCTGAAGACTTCTAAACACGATTCCATGCCTTAGGGCAGTGAACAGCTCGAAAGTGAACATGTGAACCCTGACATCTTTACATCTCAGCCCCTCAAGCCCTATACCTAAACCCTTGAGATGCCTAGACCTCCAAATCCTAACCCCGAAATCTAAACCCTAAATTCTAAACCCAAACTCCAAACCCTAAACCCTAAAACCCTGAACCCGAAACCCTTAAACCCCGAAGACCGGTCTTCCGAAGACCTCCGCCTGCAAAGCAAAGGCCCTCTTGCGGCGTCAGGGGCTGCTGTGCGCCGCCACGGAGGCTGAAGGGGTCAGCACATCCTTTGGTGGAGAGGGATTTGTAATTGTCGCTTTTCGGGCTCATGAAGGTGTAGGGCTCTATCTGTGCTTTCCGAAGAGGCCATGCCACAGACTGGAGCTGGATAGCACTTCTGCAGGGTTGCTGCTGAGTTCAAGTCTGGAGTCCGAATATAAATGTCAGAGCCAATCGCCCGATACATCTTGCCTCTTCACCGAAGTTGGTCAAAGACCCTGGAACCCGCTACAAGTACATACACCCGAAGCACTGTGCAAGACATCACGTCCCCCAGCTGTCGAAATCCCGTAATGCATTGAAACCGTGTATATGACCCCCCCGCCCCCCCAAAGAAAAAAAGATAACAGCAACAACATAAACTGTTGTTCGCCGAGCGACGCTGCGCGACTCATTCGTGTAGTTTTGCAGTAGCTCGTGCACTTCGTAGCCACGCCTCTAGGATTTAGGGTTTAAGGCTTCGGCTTCTCGGCATCCAGGCATGCGGGCTTAGAAGTGTGAGGTGCTCGGGGGTCTACGGCATCAGCCCTGAATTACACTTCTTGGGATCTCTCTCTCTCTCTCTCTCTCTCTCTCTCTCTCTCTCCCTCTTACTCTCCCCCCTCTCTCTCGCCCTCTAGCTCTCCAGCTCTCTAGCTCTCCAGCTCTCTATCTCTCTATCTCTCTCTCTCTCTATCTCTCTCTCTCTCTCATCCATATATATATATATATGGGTATATACATGCTTGAGTACATACACTGTAATTGTTTATAACGTTTATATCTATATATGATATAAATACTCATATGTATATGTATATGTATATATATATATATATTAATATTATAGCGCAAGTTTTATGAGCCCTAAACCTTAGATAGTGGAATACCTCGGTCGGAGCCACGGCAAGCATCAGTGGCACCCCTCCCAAAGAGGCGGCCAAGGCACACGCAGTGAAGCCCGAAAGGCTTTGGGACTGGGAAGTACCTCACGAGACGGGTTTAGGGCGTAGGGTGTAGGGTTTAGGGACTCTCGCACTCCAAGGGCCCTAAACCCTAAACCTAAACGTTTAGGGTTTAGGGTTTAGGGTTTAGGGTATCAAGGGGAAAGTGGTGAAAGTAAGACACATGACTTTTTCAGGCTGCAGCTTCTCAACTGTGTGGGCGAAGGTGGGAAGAGACATTCCAAGCTCTCACATCTGACAACCTACACCAAGAGAGCTATATCCAACATCACCGTCCCCGAGCCAAATGCACCCGGTCCAAAAGTCTCCGACCCCACAACAAAACAGACATCGGTCGTGCCGTCTCGGAGACGCCCGCAAGATCAACGTAGAATGGAAGACCCAAACTTAAACCCGCATACACTAGGTTTTATACATTCAGGGCAATACCATAAGGCCTGGAAACAATTCTCCGATACAACCCCAAACCTCATACCTCATGATTCCTAATCCCTGGCAATCTACCCCAAGATGCGAGCAACCCCTACACCCCGTAAGAAACGCCAAACAATCCCTGAATCCGTTAATCCCTGCCCTGATCTTTGTTACTCCGAACCCCTATAGTCTCTCAGCCTCAAGCCCTAATTCCGAGTTCCTTGTGGTATCCTTACTTAACCCGTAAAAACCAGGCACAAAAGCAAATTGCAGGCAAAGCTCGCTTCCTTGTGGCGAGCTGCCAACCTGGCAGTGGCCCGCTCGACACACAAAGGGAACTGTGGAAGCGGTGTTTTTGTTTGCTCGAGTTCTACGATGCGCACGCACCGTTGAGTATACCCAAAACCCTAAACCCACTACCCTAAACGAGAACCCGAAACCCTAAACCTTCAAAGACCTGCTGACCGGCTTTGTAGAGGACCGTCGGGGCAAGAAGAATCCCCAAGCGTCTACACAAAGTGATCTGTGGCTGCCTGAATGGAATTATGCAGTACCATATGCCCATAGATACCTTAAACCCCGGATACTGATTCGAATTCGTCAGGAACCTCAAACCATATCATATACCCTCCTCAACTAGTGTCTTTAGCTGCATTCTGACTGCTGAAGCAGAGTCCGAAACGAGCTGCAAAACTCGCAGGCATCAACAAAGTAGTTACGGTTTAGGGTTTCGGGGTATATAGGGCTCAGGATGTAAGGTGTAAGGTTCAATGCAGGGTGTCAACTTTCTATGGAGAACCATCGACCCTGATCGTGAGACTCATGCAAAGTCTGCAGGCAGCGCTGGCCCACGCCGACCAGGCCGTCGACGCTTGTGTCCAGAGCATGTCGAAGCGTCGAGAGACGCAAGTCCTAAGCAGAGTTTTTCTTGCTGCCCAACCCGAGTTGATCAGGCTTACGGTGTGGAATTCCCAAAGGGTCCTAAGTACTTACGTGGTATACTGTAGGGTCTGTGTACTGGAAACCACTCGTATGATTTGGGAAAGCAATATAGTGGACGACACGCAGGTGCACGAGCTGTTTGTCCACATGGCCCTCTGCCATGGTACAGATGTGTCGTCGGTTTAACTGCTATCTTGATGCTGTTCCAGCACACTCGCGGTCCAGCCAATATAAGATGCTTCTCCGAGAAACTACTGCTTGTGCTGTCAGAGGCTTTCCCGGCAGTAGATGTGCTAAAGCGCCCTCATGCAAGTCATCAAGTACAGGTTTTCTTCGGGTTCACAGTCGCAGTGGTGGGTTCCCAAGTGTATGCATGTATGTGGAGTGTATGTATCCTATGCATGTACCTGTTTATGTGTCTAACGATAAAAACCACTGAAGCAACACGAGCCCAGTAGATAAATCATTACACATCACATGGGTACATATACTGCAATTTACGGTTTCATGCACAATAGCAAAAATGTCACACACACACACTAGTATTTCAGTATATAGGTATGACAATGATGATGCAGATACCTACGTAAAACAAACGATGGCCCCTGGCATCGTTCGCCAAAGCTGCGGGTGTTCCATGCATCTCGACGTTCTATTCCATATGTGCCTAAAACTCTGAACAGTGTAACCCGGAATTCAGACTGATTGGAAGCCGAAAATACTAATATGACAACAAGCGGCTGCGTAGCCCCGGTGGCCGCGGAGAACTCGCAGAGTCCAGCGGCGCATGGTGTCAGCTGCGCGGTGGCCATGGCGATTCTTGCACACTTTGTTGAGTTTTATCAGGTTTAGGGCTTAGGGTTAAGGTTCAAGGTTCAAGGTTTAGAGTTTAAAGGGTTCGTTTTCGGACGTTTTTCTTATGTGGTTGAGCGTTTAGGGTTCAAGGTTCAGGGTGTTTACGACTTTAAAGCTTAACTGTGTAGGGGTTGGCTACGGGCTGCAAGTGGAGGGCTTCCGCTTCCATGGTCTTCGGGTTGGGTGTCGGAGCTGTGGGTAGTAGAGATCATGCCAGCATGAAACGGACCTTCAGAATTAGAATCGGGTTTTGGGCTACCTTTTAGTATAATTCGAATAAGGAGGGAGGCTGTCTAGAGTTTGGCAGGTCTGAAACTCAGCAAAGCTAAATTTGCGGGGATGGTGGACTTCTGTCATGGGCTTTACAAAGGCGCTGATCCCAATCCTCGATCCGAGAGAACCGGAAAGATGTGCCAAAAGCTCATTAATAGTCGTCTGCCAAGCGCCCCGGACACGAAACATGTTGAGGTTCAAGGGGGAAAAAAGCAGACCTACAAAGTATCGCCTGATTAAGGCTACTCTTTGTCTAAAGAAGCCGCGATCGCGAGGGACAACTCGCCAGACAGAAGCTCTCAGCCATGGAATCTAGGGTTTAGGGTTTATGACCGTATGTTGCAGAACCACAGGGGGTTCATGACTGCCAAGCCGACCCTTTCAGATTGAACCTGTGAACACACCGATTCTCTACATCAGATCGATGCAACGAAAATCAATCCCCGGAACCTCGCAGATCATGCAGCCAAGACAAAAATTAGCTCAGTCAGGTCGATAAATAGGCAGGAGAAGTAGCGGGCAACGAGCTGAGGCGAGGGGTCAGCCTTCACCTTTCGGTAGTTCTCACGCGACCTCAAGGGGTGAGTCCATCGGACAATCTACTACTAATGCATCCTAGAGGCCCCAGTAATTCAAGCAGGGTTTTGATATGTTTTCTGGTAGAACTATACCAAGGAACTCTATGGACATTGTTTCTAACGGTGCAAGCTTCTACGTCATAGTCGGTCAGAGAGATCTAGTGGCTCGAAGTCTTTGTTCAGAGTTTCTGAGGTTTTGGAAATGGCCGTTGCGATCCCTGTAGCAACCAGCCCTGGCGACGATCGACCCCCTTTCGGCGGATCCAAGAAATGGGGTGCTAATGCAAGGGTTAAAAGAAATACCAATACTATACTCCTTAGGCTTGCTTGTTCAAGTTATAATACTGGCAGCATAATATACCCCAAAGCCCTAACGTACCCCAAAACCCTCTTCAACTCAATAGGGCTTCTATATGGCAATATCAATACAAAGCCAGCCAGTCATTCTATTGGTTGACCAGGTAGTGTACTGAGACCTGAAAACGGACCTCAGCTGGATTCATAGCTGCATTGGCCGGTTCAAGTACATGCCCAAGAACTAAACTCTTTGAAGGAAAAGACTCAGGGCTTTTTTCCCGAAAGCATCGCGAAGGGTTCTTCCGTGCGGAGCCCCGCAGAGAAAATACATAGAGAATACATGGGGTCAAGTACACTTGACTTTACCACACTTGACTCTACGACACTTAGCTTTACCACACT